GGCATCTCCGTTTCGTCAGTACCACACCCGCAGCCTTTTTACCGCAGCTTTTCTGTACAAACGCAGTTGTTTCCTTCCCTCACCCACGAATGGCTTCCTTCTCTGACATCCTCCCCATGATCCTCTCCTATTTCGAGATGCAGACTATGATACAATTGGATCCCCGTCATTGCCAACGTCCACACACTGATGACCGCCACACCACCCGCTCTGCCTTCTCCATCTTGACCGCACATCACGGTGATTGTTCCTGGCATCAATATGGCGTTTGGCAACAGTTCCTCGCCGCCCTCCAAGATCACAAGATGAGCGCCCACAATTTCTTTGGCTTCCACCACGACAACACGGTGTTCACGATCTATCATTATCAGCCCTCGGTCATCGTATACTGCAATCGACTGTGTTGGCGAGCCCACGTCCAGCTACGTTCTGCATCACGACTTTGCCTACGTGTCCGCATTCGAGATCCTACCCTAGCACAGTGGCGACCTACTTCGCCTGGACCCTGGATTACCACATGCTGGTGTTCAGCGCATTGCCTTTCCTTTTCCAAATGGACATCTACGACTTCTCGCCGCCACTCGCCTCCTCCACCCATCACAACGGACAATCCTTATTGGCAACAGGAACAACAACGACATGGTCTTCTCCCAGCTCTGAGACGGTGAAGCTTCGGAGGACACTGACGGAAATTTTTGAGACAAAGAACCTCGCTTGTGCATCTTGGCCGTGGTCTATTTGATCTACCGCAGCCTTTTCAGCACTATTTGGTTAGTCCTCGGCCTCTCTTTTCCTTTCTTCGCCCCTGCACTCATGGCTCCGCAGCTATTCGATATTCCGTTGGAATGGTGGCTTGACTACTTGGTGGAGCTCCGAGTATGGCAAGTTCGTCCAATGACCTCACCCGATCTACAGATCCCCAGTACCCTCCTTGATCCACGCTTTGTCATATCACAGCACCGATTCACGACCTCTCAGAACCGCTTCTACCTCGACACCCTCCATGGACTTTGTCAACTCAATCCTTCCTTCCAACGACTGGATTACTATGACCCGAACATCTGCGGTTACCAGTACAGCATGTTCACGACCGCACCATCTCCACGCGTACTTCACGCGTTACTTCTCGCTGATCGTCGACTACCTTACACTATGAGCCAGATGATACTTCGTCATCGTTGGCAACTTTGCCTTGGTCTACTGGCACCTAAAGTCTACGCTCGTCACGTTGATCGACGTCAGTATCAAAGACATGAATTGCCAACTCCTCTCCGAGAAGTTCTCCACCGACATTCCTTGCACCGCTGCCAGATCCTCCAAGTTCACCCGACGGCTCTACCTGCTCTACATGCTCACCGTCTTCGTCTGATTAACTCACCCCGCTACGGCGGGGTGTGTGTGTGACAACCCTGTATCCAAGGGCCTTCTCCTCACGCTCTGCAGCCGTTTACTACTTGCGATTTACATATAACCGAACTTGAGCACAGAGTACACAGCAGGGGGTGGCAGCAGGGTCCAGAGTCTGCCACCAACGAAGACACTCTGGATACCCTGGTGAAGCACGGTCTGATCAACCGTGTGTACCTGCCGTTTGTGACATCGTATATCATCTTCGCTGTACATTGGTTTCACTTGGCTATTATTATTCTGGTTGCGCTTCTCTGGATATGGCATGGGGCTAAGCCAAGAACCCCGCTCAGTCGTTCTCCTGCAGCTGTGGTATAACTTCAGAAACAGTCAGTGCTTGAGTTCATGTCGTCTGGTATGCGCTGGTTTCTGGATGGCCTGGGGCTAAGCCGAGAACCCCGTTTAGCGAGTACACATGCATGCATTGCTCAGTGCCAGTGTCCACCTCCTCAGTCCTTGCCGTGTCCTTCGGTGCGTTGGGGGTTCAGGCTGGCGTTGTGGTTTAGTTAGGCAGGTTGAGGTGTCAGCCACAGACTTTCTGCACTTCCTCTTTGCAGTTGCTGTCCATGAAGCTACCAGTCCGAAGTCTCTGATGTGTGGTCGCTTGAGACCTGGACATCAGGTGGTCCGTCGCATACCGAAACCTTCCTTAGCATTCAGTGTGTGTGTTTGTGTGCATGTATGCATGTGACGTATGTACGTACGAACGTATATGTGTATGTGCGTTTGCGTATGTGCGTATGTGCTTATATACATGTGTGTATCTATGTATGTGTGTGTGTGAGTGTGTGTCTGTCTGTATGCATGCATGTATGTAGACATGTAGATAGGTAGGTAGGTAGGTATACCTAGGTTTGTATGTGTATGTATGTATTTATGCATTTCTGTATTTGTGTATGTATGTATGCGTAGGAACACGTTTATGGTGTGCAGTCGCAAATGTGTTACAGTTGTTCACGTGCTTGTGTTCTTGTGGATCTGTCATTGAAAGCGGACATGTTCCTGAATGCAGTTATGCATGTAATTAGCTATGTACTATGTACCTGTATGTCTGTAATTGTCTGTATATGTTTATGCATGTTCGTGTGTGAAGACCTTGCCGTAAGTTAAGAGAAAGGAGCGCGTCTCCACTCACAGTGTGGGTGGAAGCGCACTCCTCTGTCTAAACTTATGGTAGGTGTTTGGCCAGATGGTGCGATGCGATGTGATCGATCGTCATGCCGTTTCTTTCACGTAGGTTTTGTGCCATATCATGTTTTGTCAAGCCATGTGCGGCCATGTCGTGTAAGCAAGGTTGAGACGGTGTATCTGCATGTATGTGCACGTGTGCATAGGCATCTATTTATCGAGGTATCTGTATATCTATGTATCGATGACCGTATGCATTTGGGTGTGTGTCCATGTGCTGCATGCGTGGATGATCTGAAAGCACACTCGGGTGCTTGCATCTATGCGTGTGTACAGGTGCACATCCTCATATCAGCTGGGTAGCTAGCTGGAGCTCGTGACTGGCCCTCTTTCCTGGCTTGCCAGACTGTGGTCTACTTATTGGGTGATCTTTGTTTTCATCTTTCCATTTCCTCTGCCTTCTTCCTGCCTGCCTGCCTGTCGGTCTGTCTGCTTATCAGTTTGTCGATCGATCTATCGAATGTTGTTTGTCTTTCTGCTTCTTCGCCTGTGTGGAAGAACATGTGCTGAAAGTACGTTGAGGTTCACGCTTTCCTGCATGTCAACAGGATCTGTGGCCTCCGGGTGGCATTTTTGTCTGGTGACTACGATGCTCAGAAGCCGCCTGGCCTGGAGATTCCAGTGGCGGTATATCCTCGTGATGTACAGGGTTACAAATTGAAATCATATATACACATATGTATATATATATATATATATTTATGTACAGATGCTGCATCCGGGTTGCGTTGTACTCGTAGTCGCTGGGTGTTGTCCTTCGGGGCCTTGTGAAGCAAGCTTTGTATGCCGCAGTGGCTGGATCCGACTTATGATCCACATCGCAAGCCTCCACGCCTCGAGAGCTGAAGACTGAAGTTTTCATTGATTCGCTCTTGCTTTTCTCGCATCATGTAAGTGCCTGAAGGTATGAGACACCTGGCGCAGACTTTGTCGGGAGCGCATTCACAGCAAATGCTGTGAGTGGCTTGAGGCCGCCGGGAAGCCGGCGATGGGGATTCCCTTCGATGCGGTTCAACGTTGCGATGGGTCAATCTTCGGGCCGGTTTAGCGAGCATGGTGTGGACAAAGCCAACTGCAACGGGTTTTCGCAAAACACTAGCGGCTAGCGGTTGAAGACTGGGGGTTCAAATCGCACAAGCATCCTACAGTCACTTATCTTTGGACGACTCAGCAACTGAGTTTGTCGAGCCCCGTCGAAGAGTTGCTTTGCCTGGCTCCAGGCGCGTCGTCGCAGAGGACAAATGGAAAAGCCGCTTGGCAAGGGTAACGACCGAGTCGAGGCGGTGTAGTGCACGCAGTCCAACGCATGGGCATGACTCCCGTCCCAAAGAGTAGACCTGGCACTTACATGCTCCTCGGCGTGAGTATCGTTGAGTCGCTGAGGGGGTATCGACGTCTTGCTGACGAGCGGCTGGCCACAGGGCCTCGACCAGCGCCTGGAGGCTCACCGAAGCTAAGAAAGAGGAAGCCGGGAAGCCGAAGCCGGCAACCCGAACTCCGTACCGGGCCGAGGACTCCGCAAAGCCTCCAGAAGTGGAGGGCTCTCGTTGGCAGGCGGCGGGTCGGGAGTGCCGGGTTGTAGAACTCCGGCCAGGTGTGTGTGCCTTGCATTCGCATTTGCCCCGTGGGTCTAGTCTAAAAAGTGAGTTGCGATGTAGCGAGCCCTTGTGCTCCCTGTCTGCTTCGTGCCCATTGCAGCATCTTTCAATAGGCAGATGGGCTTTGTTCATCTCGGCAGCAATCTTCCATTCAATTTGTTCGACACTGCCATCGCTCGTATCATTTGAGCTATCTCCATGCGGGTGAATGCTGAAAGTGTCGATGGATCGGGATTCGGGGGCTTCATAAAGCCCCACCAGTGACAGCAGGTCTACACCCCTTCGAAGCTTTCGAATCTGAGTACAGTCCCGACAGTTTGCGGAGTGGCAGGATGCCGCGGCACCGCCATTTGCGGAGCTTTGTGCGGCGCTTGAGCCGCGCGCGGGCCCTCAGAGCCCAGCACCGCTCGGAGAATCGCGGGGCCATGCGCGGCCATGCGGGGTCTGGGGCAGGCCTGAACTTGTTTTTCCTTGTCCTGAGGCTATCACATATGTGGTACAGCAGACGTCTTCTACCAGCGGACGCCGTTTAAGGTGCCAGGGCAGCTTCTTCTAGCTGCCCACTAGTATGGTCTTCGCTGTGCTGTGCTTTAACGGAAGGCACTGCGGCGGGAGCATGCCTGTCGCTGCATAGGTGCCCTTCAGACGGCCCCCTCCCCCCATCTTGCGTCGCTCCCGTCTCCAGGCCTTGGTCGCGTTGGGAGCACCTCGAAGCAGCGGAAGTGGCTCCACGCTTTCTCGCCGCGCACCCGGCCGGAGTGCGATACAAGTGGGTGCGGCGGTGCGGGGCGATCCAGGCTCAGTCCCATGGACTGCATGAAGAAGGAGGACCTCAGGCTGCTGCCTTCAGGCCCGGGGCCGAAGAAGCCACCGCCAGCAGGGCCAAATCGCGCGCGACCCGCCAGGCACCGGCGCCTGCCCCTTTGCGGCACCTGCGGCCCGGCGGGCAGAGGCGGAGGCGCTTCCAAGCTCGCCAGTGGGCGGAGCGCCATGACGAGAGAGCGGAGAGAGAGAGAGAGATTATATATATATATATATAATATAATATAATATAATATAATATAATATAATATGATATAGTATAATATAATATAATATTATATTGTATTATATTATATTTTTATTATATTTTACTATACTATATTATATTATGTTATGTTATGTTGTCGTGTTATGTTATGCTATATTATATTATACTATATTATATTATATTATCTTATATTATATTATACTATACTATATTATATTATATTATACTATATTATATTATATTATATTATATTATATTATATTTTTTATATATGTATATTTAGACATCGCGCAGCGAGGTCTCCGCCAGCCGGCCCGAGAAGCTTGCCAAGGCCACATCCGCCGCGCGATCCGCCGCGCTGGATGTCTTCAGAGAGCTCTGTGCTTTTCTTTCTTGTGGTCGTCAGGACCACGAGGCCGGAGAGGCCGCCTTGGCTGCGCTGACGGCCGGGGATGCCCCCGCCTTTCAGAAGGCGCTGCTGGCCTTGAAGGACGCGCAGAGAGCTGTGCTGCTGTGTTCGTTTAGCATTTTCCATGTGAATGTGGGGCAAGGAGAGTGTGGTGTGGATGGGCAATGTGAATGCGGAGGTGGAGCGGCCCAGTAAGAAGGCAGGAGCCGTGTCCCGAGGCCCTAGGCTTCCTCGCAGAATCGTAAGCGAGACGTCGAAAGCGAAGGCGAAGGCGGAGGAAGAGCCGAGGCTGCCTCGCCAGCGGAGCTGCCTCGCGCTTTTCTTTCGTCTGAGCCTGGCCCTCGCAGGGAAGCTCCGCTGCTTGCGGGACCCTCGCCCGTCTCAAGCGAGAGAGACGCGGCCGCCGAGCTCACAGCTTTCAGGGTTCTTCCCAAAAAGCCGCTATTCGTCACTCGTGGCTAATCGCCGAGGAGGACGACGAGGAGGAGGACGCGGCCGAGGCAGCACCTTAGAGCAGATGTGACTCGCGGTCTGTCGCGACGGAGCTTCATTTCTTCCCTCAGGCGGCTGCTGCTCGCCAGCAGGCGCAGGACAGGAGGTTTCCTTGCAAAATGCCTTCTGCCCCGAGCCGACCCAGCTCTGAGCCCGAAAATGCCTGAAATCGCGATATTCGCTTGATTTCGCGGCGTGTTGAAGGTGAGGATGCCAGAGAGCAAGTAACGTCTACGTTGAGAAGCTCTGACAAGCTCTAGAAGCTGTGAGGAAAATCTGAGCAAGCCGCCCAAGAAGGGCATCGTGCCTCGGCACAGACGTTTTTGACCTATGTGACGCACAATACCCTTCACCATCTTCACCCGCTTCTTTTGGCAATTCCTTGCACACCCCTTTGTCAACTGGTTGCTGGAAGGCATTCAGTCTTCCACTCAGGTGCGATATACCTTCAGAGACGAAGGTTTGCTTGGCGTTCGCTTGTCCCGCGACGTGCCTCCTTGGATTTTGGAGGCATGGGCCTTGGATGAGCAAGTTGTTTCGTGCTTCCTACAGCTGCATGTGCCCAGGTTAGGGAAGGGACTCTCTCGTACAGAAAGAACCCTCGGGTTCCAGTCGGTGGGGCTGCTTGGCGAGGAATAAGAGCCAGATATCATCACAGACGTATCACTCCCATGGTGAACTGTCTGTCAGAGAGGAGGAAGCTTGTCGTCGGCAGCAGACCTTTTGCCATGCTTCCCAAGCCGAGGTCGTCATCGCCATCAATGGTTATGACCTGTCCAGCAAAGAGAACCCATCGGCCATCAAAGCGCGGATGCCTTACTGAGGCTTCATTGTTCACAGCTTTCTTGTTGCCGTCACTCTGCTCTCAAGGCTGGCAAAGAGGCCGGTCGTTCTGGACGTCGACTGGCCCATCGATATACCGATGCCTGCTGCAAGCTCTGCTTAGAGTTGAAAAGCCGAGCCATGCACATAGCTGACTCTCCATCGGGTGAGTCGGGGGTTCGGGGCCTACTCTGCCAAAGACATTGAACAAGGTCCTTTTCCTGGTTAAGGGCCTCTGAGTTTTACAGCAACAGCATGCAACAGCGGTTGGGACGAAACCACGACGGTTTCTTTGGGGTTCTCAGCTCCCCACACACGCTGGCCGCAGGCCATGTCCCGCTAAGAGCTATTGACATGCTCCCTGGCGTGCATGCTGCCCGCAAAGCCTGTGTCCAAGCCTGGAAAGCGACAGGGCCCATGTCGATGTGCAAAAAGTGCAGTTGTCATTGTTATGAGCTCCTACGAGCGCTTTTGCAACTTGTTTGCGCGGGAGAGACATGGGCTGCGCTTCGTCGTCTCCAGTGGCCAAGCACGGCGGCCGCTTGTCTTCAGTCGGGTACTAGAAGCGGCACACGCTTGGGTTCTTCACATTGCAAGCACAGGTCCTGTGACGGCAGCCGTCAAGCGAGACCCCGTCTGCACCGATGTCGAGGCCCCAGGGCTTGCGCAGACAAGCTGCTGTTGCACCTTTCACAGCCTTTTGCTGTCGTCGTGGCAGGTCCCTCAGCCGTGCATTGAAGAGGAGCGCCATGGCAAACGTCCGGGGCATGAGGTTTTGCGCAAGCATGCAGAAACTAGCAGAAACATGTCTAGAAGCTGTAGAAGTCTGTGGAAGCGCCCACCCGCCCAGCCTTCATTGACCAGGAGGATGAAAGCCGCGACTTGTTGATGCCGCTTCCCAGCCCGATCATCGGCTGTAGAAAGAGCGCGAGAGAGAGAGAGGTAAGAGGGCCTTAATGCCTTTGTCGTGCTTGAGCCCTGGTTGCAAGTGTGAGTCATGAAGCCACATGTGTGCCAATCCTACTTTCAGAAAGTAGTAGCCTACCGAAGGAGTCTTCCTTTGTATCCCTGCAGTGAGTAGCTTTGATGAGTCGATGAGTCGATGCACTTGTGATTTTCATGTTGCTTGCCTCGAGATCGGAGGACGAGATGAAGGAACACATGTCACTAGCACGAAGCCGTGCAAAAGATTTTGCGACTTATCCAAGGTTCATTACGGAGGGGATAAGACCTTATGGACACATGTGTAACTCTGCTAGTGTACACCCGGTCGGGAGGGTGCAAGTGTTTCAAGTGGTACAAGAAAACAAGATACAGGATGGTCAAACCCCTCTCGCCCATGAGCGATATTCGACCAAGTCTTCCAAGCTTGCTGAAGTGTGGAGCACTTCGGCAGTGACCCACGGGGGACGGCCTGACATACCTCAGTACTTGTATCTTCTTTAAGAATGCGTTTCCTCTCCGTAAACAGGTATTCAGGGGAAACTCATGTATGTTACATTGATACATATTGTTACAAAGCCTATACGGTTTTTCTACACATGAGTGAATCCTGGAAGCTTTCACGTCCTGGCAAAGCCCCAACGAACACGAGTGGCCCATCTGGCCGGGGGACTTCGGGCCGTAGCTTAGTCATGCTATGATGTGCTTTTGAATCAGCCGGCCGAGGACACTCCTTACTTCCAAGGGCGCCGCTGTCACGGAGGGCAAGGCCTTGACAGCGCCAGCGTATCGTACTGAGAAATTGAGAAACCATCAATCCTGACAGATGGAGAAAGATGAGGAGCTTCGCAGCGTAGAAGAGGAGTGGTTCAAGAGGTGAGCCCGACACATCGCATCTCACAGCTCAGATGCTCAGGAGGGCTCCGTGTCCAGCGCGGCAGAGAGCCGCGCGCAGCGAGCTAAGGCACAACAGGACTCAGACTGGTGCCTCTCATGCCGTTTTCAAGCATTGAAAGCCACGATATCCCAGGCGCTTTACGATCTCGGGCGTGGACGTGCGGCCATTCCTCCCAAAAGTCGGACCCGCAGAACGTTGGCCAAGCCTCTCCGATCTGTCAAAGTGCAGATCCGAGGTGCTCCCTACTTCCACAGTCCGGGCCCCAAGTTCAAGTTCAGCGCATCCGAGAACTTCCACTTGCTGCAAAGGTCCTTGGAGCTCTCTGCATGATGTGGGTCCAGCTGCCAGCACTTCATGTCAACGTCGGCATCCGAATTCGCGCTGCTGGCTGGCACGTAGCTCGGGCTTGGAGCTCCGCCTCAGGCTCCGACGCAAGCTTTTGTCTTCGTCCTGCTCTTGGCAACGATGTGGTGCATGACGTGCCCCGCGACACCTCATCGCGACATCCCAGTTGGTGCATTGCAATGCGTTGCAGTTCTATTGGAGTTGCTGCCTCGTATAAGTCGACTTTGTGTTGGGGGTCAGATACTGCGCATACGCAGACCCAGGACAGATGCCGGAGTCCGTCGATGTGGAACAGGCGCTTCTGAGCGACCCTTTCAGTCTCATGCCCCAGTCTGCCCCAGAGTCTCGGATGCGCTTGGGTGCAGGGCATGCCCCGACGCGCTCACAAGCTGTGAGCTAAGACGCCGGTCCAGGCTGAAGTGCCGCTGTGCAAGCACCGATGAAAGGTCATGGCAGTATCCGCTTCCGATTCTGCGCCATGACCATTATTGCACCTGGCCGGCAGTCTGCTGTGATTTCCGCTGCTGGTCCTGTCTCCGGGCTTTTCAGAAGAGTTCAGAGATGTGACATAATGTGTGGTAACAAGGCAAATGGATAAACAATGTCATCGGTCCGGCACCCGGTGATCCCCGGCGTTGCCCGGCGTCCAGAGCTTCTTTAAGCGACCACTCCCGACTTCCAGCCCTTCGAAATCATCGCTCCTTCGTTGTCATGCTCTTTGGCCCGGGCCTCACATGGGATCAGTTGCCCCGTCGGGCCAACGTCGGATCCAAAGCTTCGAAGCTCGTTGGAAGCCAGGCCTGGCCGCGCTGGGAGTGCAGTGGCCTCGGCGGCGGAGCTTTTTGGTTCAGGCGTTGCGAGAGTTTGCACTTCTGCCAGGGTGGGATGCAGCGTGGATGTCGCCCTTCTAATCCAGGAGGCTTGGAACAGATGCCGCGTCATGCGCCATGGTGTGGTGCATTGTCCCCTTCCAGGGCATCTGCGTTACCCCCCTGCACTTCTTTGTCCTGCTTGTGCCCAAGTGCTTGCGAAATAGGAGTAAGCCTTGAATTTCCAGCGTTGTCCTGCGCTTCAGGTTCTTACATCTTCTCTACAGCCTCGCTTTGCTGTACCTTGATGGGCCCAGCACTTGCAGAGCAGTTGCTGAGCGCTTGAGGAGCATCTCTCCCCCAGCGGACGCATGTGCAATTTCTTTCAGGCCGATCATTCGCATCCATTGGGGCCTCATCTGCAGGCGACCATGCTGTGAGCCTGGCCCTCCCTTTTCGCAAGAGAGTGCTGTGCGGCTGTGCAGGAACGAGTTGAACCAAGAATGGAAACAAGATGAGTTCTGGGTAGCGGCCGGCTGAGAGATGGAGTGGTTACCGTTACGTGTTTCAAGTCTGCAACTAAAGGCCCCCGGAGAAAGCCGCACGCCAGCAAAGGAACTCGACGTGGAAGAGTGCCTCTCCCTTTCAAGTGCACTTGCACAGGCTTGACCCCATCTCTGCATGAGGTACAATGCTTTGCTGGACAGCGACTCGCTGGTTTACGATGCCAGCAGGTGCCTGCTTTGGAGGTTTCATGTAGACTCTAGGCTTTGAAGCAACTGCCAGGAATCATTTCGACCAGGGCATGGTTAGAAATTGCTGGACATTTTGGTTTACGGAACGATCCGCCAAGCACTCAGCAGTTTTTTCCATGCTTTTGCATGTCTTTCCTAGCAGATCCATGAGTGAAATCTGCCGTGTGTGAGCTGAGCCGAGGGTTCCCTGGGCGAGTGGTGAAGAACCTTCTCCGGTGATCACATGTTTCACAGCTTGCAGGATGCCAACTGCTCACGCCCCCTGTGACTTTGCAAAACCAGTTGCCAACACTTGCTCCGAATGCAAGATTGTGGACGGGCGTTGCGGTGTCGCCTAACGAATCATGAGCTGCAGCTACATGCCTTGACTTGCACTCCGTCAGTCGTGGCTCTGACAAGTCTTAACACTTTCTTTCGACGATGTCCCTCCCGCCCACGTGGAGGGCTAGCGGCTCCTTGGTTTGCACTCGTTTCATGGGTGTTGTGGGTTCGAGACGGAAATGCGGCTGCAGGTGGCCCTCAAGCGATGCCAACGCTCGCTGGCTCGGAAACGAATACACAGCGAGTCGTTTGCGTGCTTTGGGTTGCTCTTGCTTCGATCTTAGGTATGGAATGCTGCGCCCGCGAAGTCCTCAGTTGTCTCCAAACGCACTGTGTAGAGAGCCTGGGCATGTCGCATGAGCTCGGAGCGAAGGCCTGTTTCCCAAGCTATGGGGGCCGACCTTGCTCCCACGAGCCTTGTCTGTGTTGGCCGCACACTGAAAGTTGGTAGCCGAGCTCGTCTAAGGATGCTGCACGGAGAAGCTTCGCCAAGTTCCGTGGCACAGGACTCGGCGCTTCGCGACGCGCTCTTGTGGAACAGTCGCTGCCTGCCGCGAGCCGTGTTTGGACGGCCTCTGTGTGAATGAGGCCAACGAAAATGAAGAGGTGTTGCAGTCTCAGCACCAGAAGACTGCGTGTCATGAGACGGTCTCCGGCAAGACGCGACCACTCCGCGAGGAGAGGGGAGTACATCGTCCTCGGTTACGATTTGAAGCCGGCATTGCCTCCGGCTTTCCTGACTTGCTTGAGGCGAAGTTAGTTGGTCTCTAGTGGAGAGTGTTGAATTGCAGGCGTTGGCCTTGTCTATCGCCTGCAACTGAGAAGAATAACCACGGCAATTTCTGATTCCGAGCTGCGGACAGCTGAACGTGTGATTGAGTTGGGGGCAGCAGCCGTCATGGCGATGGTTGAGATCCCGCTCCTCTGCCGGTTGCACGGGTGGTCCCAGGCCGAGGCAGGCAGGATCTCTCTGTAGGATGCACCTGGTGTTTGCGCCGATATGGAGTACCATTGCCAGTCCCCTTTGATCGGCCTCGAAGTGGGCTTCACAGCCATCACACTGTATCTGTTTGGGTAGCTTGGCTGTTTGCGCAAGTTTCGCACTTGGTTCCCTTCTTGAGCATCAGTTTCGCATGCAAGGTATTGCTCTTTTGCAGACCCTGGGCAGCTGAAGAAGACACGCAGCATCGACCTCGAGCAGGCTGGGCTCGGCGTGTCTCCAGAACTCCAAACCCAGCTATCGTGCTTCAGGGGGAGGGGCCCTTGCGTTCTCATGAGTCCGGCGCCGGGTTGGTATTGGAACTGGCTTTGGCCTGTTGCGCAGTCGGAATTTCGTTTTGCTCCCAAGGTCGTGGCAGTACAGTCAGAAGATCCGAAGGTACGACCACTACTGCCGCACCAGCAGCGCTTGGTTACTGCACGGGAACGGTGGTTTGCGCCGCGTGCCAGCGTTGCGGCTGTTAGATGCCGTGACGGAATAAGGTAAATGGGTCAACAATGTGATCGGCAAGACTCTCAGATGTTTCTAACACCTTCTACTTGTGATAGTGCTGTGCGGTAAACCTTGTTTGGAGGTCTCCTGAACCACAGGGAGTTCGTCCTGATGCTGGCTTGTTGGCGGCCGAGCTGAACGATTCCAAACACATCACGCCGACGCGCGTTTACTCGCTGCTGACTCGCTCGTTTACGGGCCCCATGCGACACCGTCGTCGTCGGCCGCTTTCATCCCGTGGAGTTGTTTCGTAGATTTGTGAAATCATCGTCATGGCTAGCTGCGAGCCTTCTGAGGCTTGACCTTGATAGGTCTGCCACTGGCTTAGCTCATCAGCTGTTGGACGGCTGATGTATACGCATCGGTTCCGGGTAATCGTAGGGCTGTTGTGTGCTTGGCGATGGAATGTTCTGAGGTTTGGGGTGGCCCTGGACGGCTACCTTGCTGTCCTTCTTGCCCAGAAGGCATCGGCATGCTTGAGCCGTCTGTTTGTAAATCATGTTTTCGCTTGCCTGTCCCGGACAGGGCATGTGGGAATCGGAAGTGGCGGTGGTGCTCCTGCCTTGACTGTGGTGTTACGCATATTTGCAGCTGCCCGTGCATGAGTCTTTTTGCGTCTGAGGCTGCACCTAGCCTTTTCCGTGGGCCTCCTGGCCATAGAAGTGTTCTCGACCTCAGTTGGGGGAGACGCCTTCCACCATTGACACGAGCGGTAGGTTGCAGCGCAGCGGCGGGAGCCCGTCTGCCGTTCAGGCCAATCATCCGCATCCACATCGGCCTGGTTTGCAGGATCGTGCGGGATGCAACCTGTGACTCACCGAAAGCAGCGATGTACAATGACTGCAGGTAGGTCCAGGTATCCTCTGCAAGGGGTAACGGGGCTTGTGACAGGAACGAGCTCGCCCAAGAATGGAAACACCATGGGAACTACGTGGCTCGGAGCTCATGCATCGGCATGGCCAGGCTGAAATCTTGAATCGGTAGGTCTTCGGCGTTGTTCAGACGGCTGTACAGAGACACAGCGAAGGCGAGCAACACGTCGCTGGGCGACTTGATTCCAGTAGAGCAACTGGATGTCGAAGAGTGCCCCAAAGTCCAAAATCAGACAAAATGAGACCACGTCTCCAACAAGTCCAGACATGATTCCGTTGCAATAGAATGTGAACATCCGTCAGGTACAACGAACTCTACGACAACAATGCGATTGAGTAAGCTAGTGTGCTGTCAGGTACAACCAGCTCTTCGATGAAAAGGCTTTCATTTACGATTCGTCCAGGAGCCATTCGTGTCAGTTCAGGTTTATGCTTCGGCGTATGCCATGCCGTGCGAAGGAACCGGTGGGACAAAGGTGTCAGCACGAATTGCTGGAACTTCTGGTGCTGGCCGCGCTGGCCAGCTGCCTGCGGCTGAGAAGGAGAACGCTTTCGAACACCGTGTGTGCAACTCTGACGATTGAGGGTGAGCTGGGAGAGTTCTGAACAACAGAAGCTTCTCCGGTGATCAGATGTTTCACAGACCCACAGATGCCAAATCTCACGCTCCTTGTGACTTTGCCGTGTAGTCCAGCATCGCCGCTGTCCCATCAAAGCGGTTAAGGGTCTACGTGGGGTTGCAAAGTCGCCCCGACGGCCCAAGGGGACATGCCTTTCAAAGAGAAATCTGTGGAAAACAGACCGACACAAGAATCTGCCTGCCCAAGGTGACAAGTGGATGCTGTGTGGAAGAAGGGCAGGTTGCAGCGCACGTGAGCGCATCAGGTGGTGGTGGTGGTGGTGGTGGTGGTGGTGGTGGTGGTGGTGGTGGTGGTGGTCTGCAGTGGCTCCAAGTTTTCCCGTTCGATGCCCGGCTCAGAAGTACAGGGCTCTCCGATCTGCCCCCGCGCGTCCTGAGCAGAAGGCCAAAGCTCTTTTTGGGAAAAAATCCTGTGCCTCAGAACCTTCGGAATGATCTTTGCACTTCGGGAGGCCATGAAGCGACCCGCGTCAACGGCCAAACTGGACCCGCTCCAGTCCTACTGCGACCAGGTGCAGGAGGGCCTCGAGTCCTCGAAGGCACCAAGAGAGAGCGGGGAGGGGGGGCGGGTGCCGTGCTAGACTTCTTAGGGCCTTGTTTCACTTGGGTCGAGGTCCCGCCAGCGGTCACAAAGATGCTGTGCACGGCCCAGGATGCAAGACGAACATGAGCCATTGGAGAGGACACGATTTCTTGTTTTTCTCAGGTCCGGGATGGTCAGGTCTGCCTTGCTCACCAGCAAGGACTATCGAACGTCGGTGCATCTCGCGTCGTCTCGACTCGGCCGTGTCGCATCTTCGAGGACAAGCGCCACAAGTACCAAGCCTCTGTGGCCCAATGCTGAGACGAACAGCACCCCGTGCCTCAGCAAGCCGTAGTTGTATACTGGAGGTCCAGATGGTCACGGACACCATCCAGGGTGTTGGGGAGGACTTCGAGCAAGCGATTGACGCTTGGTCAGCACTCCAGAGTCGCAGCATCTAGCAAGCTGGCAGAGTAGTGCCGTTAATTTCGTCCATGGATGGCTCACGAGGCAGATCAAAAGTCCAAGATCGCGAACTCCGACACGGAGCGCGCGGAAAGGGAAGCGGCGGTTCCCCTGCTTTTGTTTCAACCGCATCGTTGCAGCGAACGGAACCTTTCGGCCAGGTCAAAGGGGCCAAGGAGGACTTCGACGCGAAGAAGCTGTTGCCGCTCAGCTCATCATGGAAGCCTGTTCGGGGTTTGGAAGCGTCGCAGCGGAGAGGCTCAGCTGCACGTTTTTGCATGAGTTGCCTTCTTGGATGGTGTGCCAAGGACGCAAGAGAAGAAGTATGCGCTTGCAGCTGACGCACAGGCCGGCTTCACATGTGCAGCACTTCCATCCTTTGCCAGACTTGCAACATGCCTTGCAGATGCACAGCGGGCAATCCCAATTCCTGACCTTGCAAAGCAGGCATGTCATCCTGGCGAGACTTCTGAGTCGTTCCCACCTTGATGCCTCCCGTAAACGCCCCATGCCCATCGCCCTCGTGGAGCCACAACTGAATCCTTGCAGAAGCCCCGTGCCAGCCCTCATCACAGTAACCCGCATTAAAGTACACCATTTTAGTATTCGTAACCCCCATTAAAGTAGACCATAGTGCACCCTTTCAGTATTAGTAACCCTGATACAGCAAGGATCTGTGCCCTGGAGGCTTTCAAAGCGGCCAAGGAGGGCGTCTCCAAAGCGCAGGTGCTCGGCTTAGCCACGCGTCAAGTTTGTCATAGCCGCAAAATGAGACCCTGAAGGCACCCTTGCCCTAATCACAGTCACAATTCATACCAGGACCACAGCGTATCTTTGTGTGCGCACTTGGTGATATGCGTGCGTGTGTGTGGGTGTGTGTGTGTGTGTGGTATGTACATGCATCTGTCCGCTGGACAGGGTTTCATGCATGCATAAGTGCTCAGAGGCATGCTGCTGCGACAGATGCATTCAGGATCTCAGTTTGTTGATAATCGCGCTGTCTGTCTGTTACTTTGTACTCTCCCTTGTCCCCATGCATCGACAGCACCGCCAGTATGTTGAGGAATCCAGCGCGCATGACTCATGCAGACGCGCAGCGGACTGAGGCGGCAATGCGTGAAGCTGACAAAGACCTGGTTGATCGGCAAAAGGCCAAGGAGTGGTTGGTCAGATGGCATTGTTTCGGCCGTCAGAACTAGGGAGCGCCATCATCAGCAGTAAATAGAAATGCATTCGCTGGTCGAGCGCGTGAAGCAAGATGTCACCCACTGTCATCCTTCACGATGAGCAGTTTAATGCATCGCAGCACTCGTAGCGTGAGTTGCAAATCCTAAGGATTCGGGGCCTTTCAGCCTCCCAGTATCGGTTGTACACTCTGCATGGCTTGAGCTTGAATCAGATTTCAGATGGAAGTGGACCCTGAAAGACTCTGTGTGTAGGTATCTAGTGGGCCTCTTTTCCCGTAAATGGCAGGAGAACCTCGAATCGATCGTGACAGATCTGGTCACGCCGCTGGTTCAAGGACTCCGGCAGAGAGTTCAATGCGGGAGTCTGAAAAGCAAAAGGGGGAGCATTACGCTCATTACACCATTCACTACGAAGTCGCGAAATTTCATTGCAACGGGCTAAAGCAGAATGGATAGTCCGGGGAGCCACATCATCAGCATTGTGGCTTGGCCTCCAGGAGCCGTCACTGGGGACGACGCTCGGCGAAGTGTCCGGCCCGCAGATGTGGAGCCTGGCGTCCGGAGGTAGAAGGAATTGTTAGACCGTGTAGGCTGCATCTTACAGGAGGGCGATGCAAAGGGACTTGCGAGTCTACACAGCGCAGTGAGCCTCCGATGCCAGAGGTTCTAACAAGTACTTGTACCTTATTATGGTCCCGTACAAGCCCAATAGCTGCCCTTATAAGAACCCTGCTAGTAACTAGTACTCTTATGGTAACCCTACCTACCAATCAGTCTGTAAACGGCCAGAGCTGCGGTACATACCTTAATGGTAACCCTTCTAGAGAGATATCCGGGACTGCCGAGGCCGAGAACCTCCTCTCCTCGCTGAAGAAGCTGGCCCTCCTGGACGAGTCAAGGGCCAAGAAATAGAGGTCACATATGATACTATAAATGGGGGCCTTCGTAATTAGCTAGCTGTTGGGGAGAGTGCCATGCTGTGTGTCTGTCAGAGCCCTACTCGTTGGGACAGCGGAGAATGCTTGTCTGTCGAAGTTGGGCCGAACAGATTTAGCGGCGGCAGTTTGAACCTCGACCGCGAAGGTCTCTGCTCACGGCGATCCCAGAGGCCATCACGAAGGCAAGACGGCAGGTCTGCTGAGTTGTTCGGTATGGAGGTACTCGGGGTAAAGGAGCAAGAGCGATCCAGAACGGTGAATATTTGCGTGAGTTGTCCTTTGATACGTGCTCCGAGCCTGTGATGCCCTTTTCAGGAGCCAGCAATGCGGGGTGCTTTCGACACAAGCGCACGGGCCTTGGCCATCGTTGTTTCCATTCTCAAGGTTGAGCATTGAAGCCTCGGGGCTCCTGGCGAGCTAGCGCGCAATTTCAGGAGGTTGTGATGCAGACTTGCGTAGGTGGCAAGCTATGAGAGACTGGGCTGGCCGTGAAATATCTCACGGTCTAAGTTGAGAAGCAGTTTTCGAATCAAGCAGTCTGTAATTGCTTCCTACATGGTTCCCACCAGGTCGTGTCGGGCCTGCAAGAGGAGTTGGAGCGCCGTCGTGTCGGGGCCCAACCGAGATTTGCCCAAAGCTCTGCAGCGTGGGAGCTCGCAGTGCATGAGGTGTCGGTCACACAAGAACTGGCAGCCTCCACACCCCAGAAGGACGGGCTAGGAAACGCTACGCTGCATTCGCACCTGGCCCGATCATGTTGGTCCCTGTTCACACACACAGACACGAAATCTGCGATTTGTCCTATAGAAAGCCAGAGCCATGCACTTAGCTGAGCAGTTGCATGTAGTGCATGCGATGCACTGTGTTCTGTGGTGGCCTAGCTATGGTGTTTTTGCACGTGCTGAAAGAGGGTTTTCCTGCCTGGGTCCGAATCGTCAGGAGCAGCGAAAGGCCGAGCTCTCACAAGCCGAGGCCGCGGCGACACTGCAAGCTCAGCCTGCGGAGCATAAGTTGTTTCTGCGTTTTTACTGTGACAGGCAGCCTTCGAAGATGCCAAGGCGAAGCAGCATGTCGGTGCTGAGGCACCGCAATTCTTGTCTAGACGACGGTTGACATGTGTATGGACACTCACCTCACCGCGCGTGCTTTTCAGCAGACTCCTTCACAAGATGGAGCACGGCCTTGTGAGACATGTCTGATAGGTTAAACGCCCACTTTGTATTGAGCCCCTGCACTGCTCCAGCAAGACATCGCGAGCAGCACAGCAGTAAGTGTGAAAGCCGTGAGGGGCAAAGCCATAGTGACATAAATAGTCTGGCGATGGATGCGAGAATGATTTACAACAGTGCGGCAAAGCAGTCAGTATGCCTGGCCTACACAGCACACAACAAAGCTGTAGCACAGAGATGGCGGGAATCCCGTCCCAACCCCCAGGGTGATCATGAAAACATCAGAGGGTGGGTGGAAAACATCGAAAACCGACCGGGTCGGATCTGTCAGCAGGTTCCTCCCTGCACAGGTGCACCAGACAGCCATGACTGAACTCAGTATGGTGAGACCCAGTGAAAAACGGCGACTAGCTGGTCTCCTGCATCCTGACGCTTCAATCAGGATAACCCACAGATCAGTGTACCGTAGCACATATCATCAGCGTTGTGTGTGTTGAGCACATGCTCCCGAAATCTTCCAACACACCCAAGCCAGTCACTGCAACTGGAATTTGCCTTGCCGCATAGAACTGCTTCTGTTGATTTGCACCATGCGAAGTATTGAGACGAATCTTGCTGAACTTTACGCAAAATCGTCTTGAACCAATTGCAGAACATATTCGCGCCAAGCTTCACGACGACAACCTTTCGTGAGAATAGCTTGTTGGACATCCTTTTCAAACCCTCGCAGCATTACTCGTAAAGCAGAACGCTTTTCAGCATAGAGCCACATCTGGTGCAAGCCAAGAACATGTGAAACGCATCAAGTAAGTCGCCACAGCACATGACTGCTTCTGCACGTTTTTGTAGCTTGTTGGCATCATCGGCTCGAAAGCAAGGCCTTGCACGGTCTGAGCTATATTATAACAAGCCATGTTGTTGGGGAAGCCTTGCAAGGCCAGCTGCTTTGCAATCTGCTCGAACCGAGCTTCACTGTTCATGCCGTGCGTACTCAGGTGGAGGCTCCTGCAAAACACGCCAGCCAACCAATGTGGTTGGGTGTTCCATAAAGCCTTGTTCAACTCTTCTCCTGTGCATTTCTGTGTGTTGCAAGATCGCTGCAGCGAGAGTAAGAAGTGCAACAATGCATGGCAGAACATGGGAACTTTCTCAAACAACCGGTATGTATGGAGTTTGTCATTGTCGCTAGCGCATCAGAAAAGATCAAGGTTCCACCAGCAACTGACGATGTTTGACATGTGTATTGATACGCACCTCATCACGTGTGCGTTTCAGCAGACTCTTTGACAAGATGGAGGCTCCTTGCCCTTGCGAGACATGTCCGATAGGTTAAGCGCCCACTCCGTACTAGGTTGAGCGCCCACTCCCTACGACCATTTCTCAGAAATCTCCGAGTGCATGGACTTATAGATGCTTCAGGCATACACAGAGGCCAGAGCAGTCCCGAACTTGGCTGATGCAGTGTGAGGGAGTGAGGGCTGTGTGCATCTGTTTTTGCTTGCGCAGCTCTCGCCGTAGGCCCAATCTACGGCGGAAGCCAGCGTCAAGCAAGCACAGAAGGCACTGGTCCTGCAGCGCAACGCGTGCGACAGCGGTCATCCCGCCACTGCGCTTCTTGAGGCTCTGTCCCAGTTGGATCCGCAAGTGAAAGCGCTGCAGAAGGATTGTGGGAGGATTGTGCGCAGATGGCATCTCCAGATCCGCGTCTCTTGCAAGGATCTCAAGAAGCTTGAGGCCGAGCTTGCTGACTTCTGTGTGGGGCTGAGATGCTGTGAGATCTTGCACTGGCGCAGTTGTAACTGGAGCCTCCGCTAAGATGCGGGACCTCGATCCGCCCTCGCCGAACTTTCCGAGAGGTGCGTCTTTCATGACACCTCAGGACGTAGTCTGCGCCCCAAACTGCGACTGAGCTTCGGTAGGATCGAGCCGACAGAGCCGGAGGAGGTCACGGTGCAGGCAGACGCATGATCCGAGAGGCCCGTCTCACCAAGGAGGCTGTGGGGTGCAGACCTCCCCAAATTAGCTCAGGCTGTTGTGTACACTCTGATCAGCAGCTGCTGCAAGCTGGTCCAAGATTCGCGACCGACACCTCCGGAGTCGATCCTACATCCACTTCTGAAAACTTGAATCTTCATAATAAGCCTTCGTTTTTTCAAGATGGCGATACGAGAATTTTTAAATCTTTTTGATATTCCTCCCTTTACGAGAACAGAAAATATTTTTTAAGTTGCTCATACATCATCTATAACAACTCTCCGAGAATATTTGTTTTATAGAATATCTCTTTCAATTTTTTTTGTCTGTCGATGTCTATATCTTTCTGCTTCTCTCTATCTCTCTCTATATCTCTCTATATCTCTCTATATCTCTCTATATCTCTCTATATCTCTCTCTCTCTATTTATCTTTATCTCTATCTCTATCTCCTCTCTACCTCTCTTGGTCCGTCGGTCCCCTCCGGTCGGGTTGGTTGGTTGGTATAGTTGGTTAGTCGGTCTATCTGTCTATCTATCTATATTTCTCTTCCTTATTAATTTCTTTCGAGGTCTTCCCATTTGAATTTCTTTCTGATCTAGCTCGACGTCTGGCTCTAAGATCCGCACCTTTAATCTCGAACGCGTATTTTTTTCTATATTTCTGATTACCGGAGGCGTTGAAATAAGATCGAGATCTATAGATGATCGAGTATATATATATATATAATTTCAAAAATAGGATTTGATAATCGAAAATTGATTTATGAGAGATGTTGAAATGGATGGAGACCATAAATCTACGAACCTCATTAAATTTGATAAGGGATATTGATTTTTTCAATAATCTTATTTCTAGCTACCGGAATCATTAAAATAAGGGAATCCCGCTATCTACCCACAATTTAATATGAATTTGCCATAAATTTCTGACCATCCGAGCCGTTCAAATAAAATATTAAAAATTGAAATTCAATATTATTAATATCATCGATAATTTTGCTATTGATATATATATATATATATTTCATATAGGTCTGATCGATTTTTCATATATTCTTGAATTTCAATTAATATTATCGATTTAAACGCACGAAGATCGATATTCCATATATAAAAATATTAATATATCTTGCATTCGAAATATCTTTCGTATCGATCCGACCAATATTTCGTGCATGCGTGAAGAATATAATACGAATTTAAATACGAGTCAGATACGATCCGAAATACGAATCAGATACGGATACGAATCGGACCGGAACAAGGCTCGAAACCTTAATTTTATCGAACATATCTCCCCAATCTCCGCCAAAACCCTGAAAAGAACTTAGTTATCGCGAGAATATGAAATAATAATGAGGCTTGCAGCTTGCACGAAATATCATAGAGAAAAGGCAAGCTTTCACAAGAGAGAAGAGGGGGGGGGGGACAAAAAATAGAGATATAAAGAATAGAAATCATATTATTTAGGTAATTTTTCAACTATGAAGAATACTAAGAAATCTTAATCTAATTTTAATCATATAAGATATAAATTTTTATATATCCAGAAAATGAAAATAAAAGAATCAAATATTTATATTAAGATATTCCTTAGAAAGTATATATTAAGGAGGCGCCCTATGTCCAATAACTACGATATATCGCAATACAAAGAACGCTAATTGTTGGTGGGTGGCTGTATCTGGGGCTTCAGGTAAAGCCGTGGCATAGTCAGATTCCAGAGCAGATTCCATGGCTTCGCACGCTCGAATTAATTTTTCCGCTTAGCACAGACAGTGAATACTCTAATCTTCGGACATGTTAAATATACAAGAGTATGTCCTAGAAAGCTTTCGTGGCCCAAGAGGCTTCCGTAGCCCGCTCTAGCCAACAATTCAGCGCGCACTCGTTCAAGCTCCACTCAAACATGCGCATGATGCTTACATCAACTTTCAACTCAAGGCTAAATCAGTACACGGCCGTTCTGGTGCATCAACACTCGTCCTCCTTTGGGACGACGCTCCCAAATGCCCATCCGATGCACCTCAGCCTTCTGGTAGTACCTGGCCATGGGTCACCTTGTAATACAACGGGAAATTACCGTCGCAGTAGTAACAGACCTGCATCTATTTCAATTTGGTCTTGTTGGTATGCCTCAAACCATGACAATCTGCGACGGCATGAAGTCGGTCGCCGTGCTCCGACATCACAAAGTTCCTCCTGAGGCGACGGTACTGTCCGTTCTGGGCGCTTTCCAAAGCTGCCCGCAAATCTGGGTCCTCAACCGCTCTCGTAGTAGCCGCCGTACTGGAGGTTGCCGTCGTACTGGAAGTCGGCGTTAAACTCCCCGCTGTAGCAGTTCCCAAAGGCTCCTGTGGCATCATTCCAGGAGCTACCTTTGCAACCTGGGGCTTTACCTCGAATATTGGGTCAGAGGAACTCGCACTCGTCATGGATGCAAGCTCCTCTTGCAAAGCCTTTGTGGCCTGGTTCTGAATCCTCAACAGTCGACGCGCCTTTGCAATCCTGGCCTCATCGCCAAAGAACTTATGGGCTGCCCACTTCAGCATCTCCCATATTCCCAGCAACGCCACTCCTGCTATCAACAGCATCCCATAGAACTCGAAGCTCCCATCGTAGTCCAAAGGCTTTTTGTTGTACACGTCAGTCGTCTCAACTCGCGGGATTCTTGAAACCATCACCAGCCACACAAACATTCGCAGTAGGTCGTAATAGTCCGGGCCTTATAGGGACTTGATGACGACCTCCCGTTCCTCATCCTCGAAGTCCTCCGCGGAGCACATTCCCCACAATCTTCTCAAGTCCTGTAGCCTCGGAGCCGGAACTGGCTTTGTCCCCATGTCGGCCACTTGCACCTCACCCGGGGTGTGAATCACCTGGATCCGGCCTTCGTTGGTCTCCATCCTCAAATGTCTGGCCTTCACCTTGAGGTGCCGGGTCTTCCATGAACCCGGCGCTGTAGTGGCCAACCCACAGGCCGCTGTGTTGTCCACTCGCAACACCATGGGTTCATCCAGGTCTTCGCTGGACACCTCATTAACCCATGCTTGTAGGCCCGCAGCTTGTTGACTCGCATTCAACAACTCCACCAGCTCTGCTTCGGCCGCAGACAAAGCTATTGTGGGCTGCTTCGTCATCCTCCAAGCTGCAAAGCCTCCATAAGTAGCCGTAGTCACGCAACCAAAGCTGCGATCTCCATGCGGCGCGAAGCTTGCGTCCGAATATGCAACCACTGGCCCTCCCTGTCCATCGTAGCACAGTCCCCAAGACACCGTCGAAGCCAAATATCTCATAGTCATCTTGGCCAACTTGATTGCCGACACTGCGTCCTTGGTAGTCGCACTGCAAACATGAGCTGTTGCAAACCCCACATCTGGCCGTATTCTGGTAACAAGCCAGAAGAGCTCACCTGCCATCTTCTGTGCTTGCCTAACCAAAACTTCGTCGACCGGCCCGACTTCAACTTCATCTGCGTCTTCTCCTGGCGGCATCACTTCCTTGGACGCCGGAATCTGGGACGGTCTCGCTGCCTCTTCGGGGTAGTTTCTAAGAAGCTGCGTCACATAGCTTCCTGGGGAAATGGGAAAACTTGTGATGTCCTCCTTTTCTCTTCGCCTCACATCCATTCCCAGGTAGCGTACTGGCTCCTTTCCCAACCACTCCAAAGGCGAACACTTCCACCCTTCGTCGCCCTCAGTACCCTCCGTGATCCACTTGTACATCACCTTGATCGTGTCCACTGGGCCCAGCATCATGGCATCGTCCACGTACACGATCATGAGGGCCAGCGTTTCGGACTCACAGCCCATTTCCACCAGACGCCAAACCGCGGGATCCGTCTCCATCTGCAGGAAAACGCACTGCTTGTCTCCCACTTTAAGCTTGGCTCTGCTGATCCGGCGATCTCGGAAACTTCCCCACAGCCTTGGCGCCTCCCTTAGGCCGTAGAGGACACGGTCTACCAAATAGGCTGTTTGTGGAGGAGCGCAGCCTGCATCCACCACAACCTTTGGCATAGTGATCGCATAGCAGACCTTTGACTCTGTCATAGGGGTGAGGGTAAAGGCTGAGTTCACGTCGGTAACAGCACCATGCCACCTCCTTTTCGCCCCATACGACAGCGAGCACCTCACACTTTCTGCATTGGTTGAGGCCGTATACACCTCCACTTCGTTGTGGATGTAGTTTCCACAGATCACGATCCTCGAACGCCTCTTGAACAGCCCATCACCTTCTCCAGGAGGTTTCGCTGTATGCACCGTCTTCGCTGGAACCAGGACCAACTCACCCTTCGCCGCCTTCTCCTTCGCCTCTTGAAGGGGCAAGCCACGCAAAGTCCCAGATCCCTCCAGCGTCTGAACCTCCTTTGCTATGCTGGGGGTCCACTCCTGTAGGTGCCGTTTGACCTCCTGTAGGTCCACTGTGTGAACCGTCTCCAAAGGCTTGTCCAGTGACCGCAGCATCTCCTCCACATTCTCTGAGGTGTTGTGGCCCACTGCCATTCTCATCAAGTTCACCCTGTTCTGTTGCCTCGTGTTGTCGCTGACCGCCAGGAGCTCGTTCATGTAGTCGATAGCTTCGTCCAGCTTATAGAACATCTGCCGCTCCCTTTGGTTCGCATACTCCCCACGGGCTTCTCTGGCTCGGCGGACTTGTCTCTCCTCCTCCACGAGATCTGAGAGCCACGACACTCTCCTCCGCAGATGCTCCTCCTCATCGTGACTCAGGGGCATAAGTGGAATGGAGGTCATTACCACACCACATTCTCCTGGCTTCCCTCCGGACAATACCTTATCGCCCACCGAAGCCTCAGCTCAATCCTCCCACCAGGTAGGACAGTGGTGTCCATCCTCTCCCCACTCAGCTCCGGGAAACTTTCCGGGCGCCTTCCAGAACTCGCCGAAGAGCTCGAAATTGGTCCCATAGGCGCCGTACTCGAACTCACCTCCATACCTTCTTCAGTAGGGGGTCTTGGCAACGTAGACTCGCTAGACGATCCCGGTCCCAAGAAGCTGGAACCCGACACTGCTGTAGTCCCTGTAGGCGGCACCATTGTAGAACCATCACCTGAGTCCGTTGATATCGGGGGTGCTGGTGGTCTCGGCTTTGCATGCCCAAAGATTCTCAAACAGGGCTCCCTCTCTGGAAGCTCAAAGCCCAGGTCCATGAGGTCCTCACTATGATGGTCGTACAGCTTCTCCCATTTGCTGACCGTGTAGCCAATGATCACCACTCGGTCACCATCCTCTCCACGGAGCGGCGCATGTAGCCGGTCTGGGCGCACCGTAGTCGGCTTCTCCACACTGAACAGTTGACCCGGCACCTCCTTCTCCTTAAGCCACATGGCCTTGTACTTCCCATAGAACTCATCTCCGGGCTTCATCTCCTGCCATACACAGCTCCCTTTGGACACCTTGAGGGGCGAGACCAGGTTCACAGTGGACTTTAAGTTGAAGGCATCCTTGTGGAGTGGCATAGTGGCATTCTTCACCAGGGCGACTGAGGTGAAAACCTTCCCCGGGTGGTCTATCTTCAACAGACTCGTGACCAATTCTATCTCATGCGAAAACCTCTCCGTTGCCACCGTGATACTAGTGATCCCGCCATGCTGGTAGGCTCCAAGGTTCACATATGCCGCGCCTTCCCAAACTTCACCCTCCTTCATCTGTGGTCTCTCGATCTTTGCCTCCGGAGAGCTCCATATAGGGGAGGCCAGCAACTTCTCCACCAAAGCCTTGCGGCTCCTTGCATCAACCGCCCTCACTTCCGGATCCACAAGCTTTATCTTCCTTCGCAGCCTTCGGGTAGGCTCCACAAGGTCCACAACGAACTCCTCGTCGTCCTCGTCTTCTACTTCATCATCTCGCACCGTCCTCATATGCAAGGTACGCAGCCACAACCCATCATCCAGCCGCACCACGTGTCCATCCCGAACATCATCTGCAGGGCCCATGTATACACCCCGCTCCCACTTTGGGTCAAACGGTCCTCGGTCCTTTTTGGACTTCACCCATACCACAGCTCCGAACCTTATGTCCGGGGCCTTTTCACCAAGCTCCCGGGCATTGTGAAGCTTACAAGCATGCTTCATCGCGCACGGCCAAAGCTCCTTGTCCAGCTCCGCGTCCTGGAGGTGCAGCCTGGCCTTACTTTTCAACCACTTCACATGGCTCTCTGCCATGGCATTCTGGGCGGGCGCCAATCCTTCAGTGAACGTTTGGTATATATCTCTTTCACGGCACCAGCGTCTGAGCGGTTTCACTCTAAACTCCCTTGCCCTATCAGAGTGCACCCGCACCACAGGTAGGCCAAGCGTACGGATGCGTATGTAGAGCTCCTGGAGCGCTTCTAACACCTCCTTTCCACGATGGCGCTCCAAAGGGACCACAAACCGTAGTGCTTGCATTTCCATCGGCTTCTTCAAGTCCTCAACCTTCTTTTTCCATTCCTCCTCCTGCGCATCCGCACCTGGGTCCTCTGGGCCTTGCTCACCATCTTCAGATTGGTCCTCCTCCTCTGCGAGGAACTTCTCCGCCTCCTCCTCATCCGGGATCGGAGCATCTTCAGGAATCTCCCTGACCTTAGGGTAGAGGTAAGTCGCTGCAAGTGCAAATCGATAACGACACCCTCGAACTTCATCTCGTCCCACATCTGCGAAAGGCCCAACAATGTCCATGCTCAAGACATACGCGTCCCTGTGCACAACGCGCCTTGCTGGTCTTCCCGTCCCTGATCTCTGCGATAGGGCCAATGGCCCCTCTCAATGTGCGCTTTCCACTCAGCAAGCTCTGCCTTTGTCATGGCCTTCTTGATGGCAATGGCACTCCTTGACGCACTCCACTCATGGATGGTATCCGCCAAGGTAATCCTGAAACCAAACGGCCATACCGACTGGTCCGGATCCGCCTCTTCATTGCTCAGGAAAGCTCGCGAATCCCTCAAGCCGTTGATACCCAGCTCTAAGTTGGTTAGACAACACGTAGGCCTCCTATTCTGGTGCCCCAACGCTCCTTGCTCAAACTGCACCTTGTCAAACTGGGTGACCCTGACGAACTCCTTCATGAAGCCCGTTCTCCAAATGGACACACAACTTTGCCTCTGAGGTCCATCTGGCAAGTAGCACTGTGGGTCTTCCGGAAACTCCAAGCAAAAGCCCACCTTATGTCCCGGTACTTCTTGATCATCCAGAGCTGCCTCCGCATTCGTCCACAGCCAAATCATCTTGAGAACCATTGCGTTCTCATTCTTCACCTTCGCGGCTTCGTCGGCCCCTAGCCCCTCTCGAAGTCCCCATGGTTCATGATTTGACCTCACCGGTCGAGGGCCTTCTCTCCCCTGCTGGTAGCGAAAAGGTGCGAAAATTCCTCCAGGCGGCCCCCTATGACTTGCTTCACCCGGCCTTGCGTGGCCGCCCACAAGAGGACCCCGTAGACCTTACCGTCATTGAGGTTCCACCCCTTCTGCAAGTCAATCTCCAAGAAGCCAGGCAAGTCTCGAAGAGGGTCATTCTTCATTCCCTTTCCCGCAAACAAATGCACCGTCTAATCCTGAGCCTGCCACAACTGCCTCCTCCTGGACCGGTTGATCGGGAAGCTCTTCATCCAGCTCCAAGCCTCCTCCGACGTCTTTGGCATCTCAGCCATCACCTTCAGCTGGTCCTCCATCGGTTCATGGTGCATGAATGGGGCTGCCAAGACTGCTCTCACACCGGCCTCCTTGTCCCCTATCGCCACATACTCCTTGATGGCATCCTTCCAGCTCCACTGGGTGTGCTCTCTCGCTGCCATGATAGCCGACCTCAAAGTAGCCAGCGATCCCATGGCCTCCGACAACTTCGCTTCCTCCAGCTCTGCGATGAGGCGCAGGGCATCACACTGAGCTATCTCCGGGCAATTGGATTGCGTGTTGACCTTGATTTCCTTCTTGTCCGGGTGTCTTAGCCGACATCCCTTGCGATCCCACGCAAACTCATAGCCCAGTGCCTGAACCAAAGTGCCCAGCGGCACTATGGGTTGCGTCTGTGTGTCCCCCAAGATCGTGCCGCTCTTAGTCTGGTCCATCTGCACCTTCTGCTCGCCGGCTAGCGTCACACTCACGCTGGTCTTCTCTCCCTTGTCCTCAGGGGTACGTGGCCTGAGAGCATGCGTGGCCCCTGAGTCCAGGAGTCCCATCCGGCACATACTCACCATGTCCTCTTCTGCCTTCATCAGCTCCCTCAGCGCCGGTGATGCCCTCACGTCGTCCACCTTAGTGATTTCAACCCGCAGCACCTTGACATTCGGGGCGCTCTTCTGCTCCATGAACGCTTTCATCAGCTTCTGAGCATCCTCCAAGAGTTGCTCAACGGGTATACCCTGCACTGGGGCTTCCACGGGCACTTGAGTCGCCGGGGCCTCGCCATGCGTAGTGGAAGTCGTAGAGGCCATCGCATCTCCAGCCCCTTCACTGGGCCTCGACCCTTTTGGTGGACTTCCACCCGGCCTTCTTCCACCCGTTCCCCCTATAGAAGACTGTGGCGAATCCCCAGCTCCCAGCGCTTTCTGCTGAACCTCCTTCTTCGTCGGGCATGCTGTCGATAGGTGCCCTTTTCCGCCGCACTCGTAGCACCGATCCCTCCTCTCGGCCTTGCTGAGGTCCTTCATCGAGTGCTCGTACTTGCATCCCTTGCCTCGGCGACAACCTTCGTCCGTCAAGTAGAAACGACAAGGCCTCTGAGCGCCCTTCCCTCCTGATGACGGCGAGGTTGGAGGTATCGCTGGCGTTGTAGCATCAGCCGCCCTCAGCCTCGGTGGCGGAGCCGCTGTATCTTCTTTTCCCTTTGACTTTCGGTAGCCCAGCTGCTCGAATTCGGCCAAGTACGCTCGGTGGATTGCCATCACCCCATCCTCCGTTGGAGCAAAGTCCACCTTCAAGTAGTAGCGCAGAAGGTTCATTCTGAACGTGATATCCGAGTGGTCCTGCAGCGGTTTCTTCACCATCGCCTCCAAAGACCGCAACATAATCGAAGGATCCGGGGTATTCAGCTTGAGGTCCTTCGCCCTTTGGTAGTGCCGAGCCCACTGCCTCAGGCCAGACACTGCTTCTTGGACAGACCCAACTGGGTCTGGTGTCTCAACCTTCTTCAGCAACTGTGACTTCTCCGTGGCACTTCCCGGCCTGTAAACCACCATGAGCCTCGCCAGGATCTCCAACGCAGATCGCGACCTTGAAGCTACCAAATCCTTCCGCACCTCCTCCGGTGCAGCTGAAAGCAACACGCTCGCTCCCCTCCTTTCCACGCGTGCCCACTTCGCATCAGTGAGCTCCTTACTGGGCGTTGGCTTCAACGCAAGCCTCCCAAACTGGTCAGCCTGCTGGTAGCTCTGATAATAAATTGTGGCATCGCTCACCACATGTTGCCACCATTCCGATGACGACGTACTCAAGTCGCCCATCACATTCTCAACACAGTGGAGCCAGTCACCGAAGTCCACTGCGCTCGATTCCGTGAGCTCCGGAAGCTTTGGCACTTCCAACGTCGACTTGGTTACCTCTTCCGGCTTTCCCCCACTGCCTTTGATAACCTTTTCCAACTCTTCTAGAAGTCTCGCCATCGGGTCGGCTGGCTGACCAACTCCACCAGGGATAGCCGCACCACCCGACATACTGGAATCTCCAAACGTAGGGGTACTGCCCGGCGCTGTACCTAATACCGCTGTCATAGAGGCTCCTGCCGATAAGCCCGACCCCCCCGTCATAGAAGATCCTGCTTGAAAGCCTGGTACCGTCGACGTAGAAGGTCCTGCTTGAAAACCCGGTATCGTCGACGTAGAAGGTCCTGCTTGAAAACCTGGTACCGTCGACGTAGAAGGTCCTGCTTGAAAACTTGGTGCCGCCGACGTAGAGGGTCTTGCTTGAAAGCTTGGTGCCGTCGACATAGAGGGTCTTGCTTGAAAGCTTGGTGCCGTAGTCAAAGAAGACCTTGCATGTATGTCCACCCCAGCTTCCATCGTCCCCTCCGTCTGTAAGCCCGATGCCCTCTCTATTCCCTGATCCTGTAGATACAGACCAAACTGCTGAGGCGGACCTTTCGGATATGCCATGATCCTCAGCTCCTTCAAACTTCTTTGCTCGGCCGCATCACCACGCAAACGAGCCACTTCTTGCGACAACTCCAAATTCTCCCTCCTCGAGGCCTCCAGCTCGTGGACTACACCACGCAGCTGCCGCTCAACCTCCTCCTGAACGGCCTCATAGGTGCTCCCGCCTGAACTCCCATCCTGTTGAGCCTGCTGAGGCCTTCCATATAGTAGAGGCGCTCTCCTCTCCATAATCCTCAGCTGCTCCTGTTGCTGGGCGCTCAATAAAGGAGGCTGACCCCTCCGTTCTCTCTCCGACTCCGGCGAACCCAGAATCCTTCTTGCCGTAGGCGTAGACGGCGACGCTATAGGAGATGGCGCCCATCCAGCTGGAAACGACTATCTAGTGCTCATATCTTGAAAGAAAGCACCCAGCGGTTGAATCCACACTGGCACAGACCGCCTTTGCGCACTCGTAACAGTCCAGGCTTGAGCCGCAGTCTGGGTCTCGTACCCAGCCTGCCCCATACTCATCATGCCCTGGGCTGCCTCCACATAGGTCGCCTCATGTACCGCCGGCTACGACCACCCCACACCAGGCGGCGATTCACTTGACGTCACTGCCACAGACATAGTCCGGACGGCCACATTGCTATCCGCTGCTCCTTGGCCCGTGCCACGCACTTCCGCCTCCACCAGAGCCGAGCTAGGCTCCTCCGGTGCGGCAGTTGCGCCTTCAACGACATTTGGGCTCATATCCTGTTGGTGGGTAGCTGCATCTGGGGCTTCAGGTAAAGCCGTAGCATAGTCAGGTTCCAGAGCAGATTCCATGGCTTCGCACGCTCGAATTAATTTTTCCGCTTAGCACAGACAGTGAATACTCTAATCTTCGGACATGTTAAATATTTAAGAGTATGTCCTAGAAAGCTTTCGTGGCCCAAGAGGCTTCCGTAGCCCGCTCTAGCCAACAATTCAGCGCGCACTCGTTCAAACTCCACTCAAATATGCGCGTGATATTTACATCAACTTTCAACTCAAGGCTACTAAATCAGTACACGGCCGTTCTAGTGCATCCACACTAATCATAATACTTAAAAGTGACAGCGCTCGGAAATCAATGGCTCGACGGCACTACCCACTGCAAGCGCGACCTTTTCGCACCGAACCCTGCCTGAGCCTGCAATCGGCTTCGAGAGTGAGAAATCGCCTTGCGAGGGCCACATGACACTGAGCAACGCTGGAGCTTCGGGCTCGGTTTCAGTCCCGACCCCCTTGGTGAAGCTCTTGCTCCTTGTGGCCCTTTCGCCAAAGAGCCTTCTTCTGAGCCGCGATTCTTCGCAACTCCTGAGCATGCTCATTGTCCGCGAGAGCCCATTCGCCCTCGCAGATCAAACGACAAATGACTTTGTTGTGACCCCACTTTGTGAGTCCATCGGCGGCCATCTCCGAGCCTGGAACCTACCTGACGAACGCGCCCGAGTTCTCCTCGAGGACTGCCTGGCGCAACACCGCCACATCGATGGCAATCTTTCTGTCGGCCGGCATGGCCTCACTGGATATCGCATCATAGCCGGTCTTCGCATCCGTGGTCAAAACGTGGCGCCAGCGGGATACATATCGTTTCCAGTCGGCCAACTTGAAGTCGGGGCACACCAACTCCACAAAGGCGGCCCGCACAAAGTCTCCATGCTCATAAGAGGTGGTCATCGAAGAAATTTCCGCTGACATGGAACATCTGACCACGCGGTGAATCTTGGTGCTGTTGCCCTCCAGGATGCATATGCGGCCCACTCCAGAGAGCACCTCGGGATTCGCGAAGAGCACGAGGTTCCCCCCTTGAGAGTGTCCACCGGGCATCGCGCCGTAGGCCGCATCACTGACAGAGACCACCAGCACATCCTCGATAGCACACCCGAGGTTTCGAACCTTGAAGTTCAAGGGCTCCTGAGCTCGCTTCACCCCCAAGTTGAGCCAGCGAAGAGCGTCCCGACGGCCATGTCCGGATAGCTGCTGCACGAGGGACGCCCCATAGGACAAGTCATACCTCCCCTGGCGGGCCGCCCAATTCAATTGCCCCACAATGGAGCTGATGACCTTCTTCTCCTGTTCGGAGAGCTGTTCATCGTCCTCGCCATGAACCACTCGTCGCTGTAGATGATCCCAGAACGCTACCTCCTGTTCGACATCTTGTCCTAGAGACCGCGTAGTCGATGATGTAGATGTCGATGGGGATGTTGTGTGGTCTGCCCCGCATACACCTGCTCCCGGCCCTGACCCCGTAGTCGATGATGTCGATGTCGATGGGAATGTCGTGTGGTTTGCCCCGCTAGTTCCTGACGTCGCTGATGCTCCGGGCGCTGAGGAAGTAGTCGATGATGAAGATGTCGAGGGGGATGTTGTGGTGTGGTCTGTCCCGCCGGTCTCCATGCCTGTTGCCATCGGAACCTTAGCCAAAGGGATATTCTTCACGTACTCATCCATGGAGTATTCCATCTCGAGGGTGTGAGGATCTTGTCGTTCCCACCGGCCACAGAACTTAACCCATCCCTCGGTCGCCTGGCGATGCTTCCCAAACTTCAAGCGCTCCCGGAGGCGATCCCAAATTTCACCGGAAGTCTCATCGCCAGCGAACCTGGTGTCATCGACATGGATGCTAGCCATGGCTCGGAGGTCCCGCCGAGGAGGTGGGTGGAACGCCCGGAACACCCCGGGAATTAACTTCATCTCCTCCAATCCCAGGTCCTGGATGCAGTCCTTGTACTCCAGGTACCAGAGTCGCGGCGACTCCGGAAGCCCAAAGCCCGCCTTGGTCAGCTCCACCAGATCTGCCCGACAGTCCTTGCCGAGCTGCTCCACCAAGTGCTTGATCACGGCGTCCGGGTATCCTTTGGGCACCTTCACGTAGATCTTCTCCTGCCGGGGAAGTTCCTTGCCCTGCAGGAAAGCCGCGCTCACATCTTCGTAGTGCACGACCCACCGCTTCTGCACCGCCACGAAGTTGATCAAGTTGTGGCCCAGCAGGCTCGCCGTTGGAGACGAGGTCGCATACAACCCAGCATCCGGATCACGGTGGCCTCCAAAGATCCACCGGGCACGTAGTTCAGCATCGCCCAGAGTCTCGCCCCCTTTGTTCGTAAGGACGAAGCGCGAGCCAAGAATCCGCGCAGGGTCCACCATTTGTCCTTGAGGCACTCCGCGAATCCCGGAGTGATCCACGTACACCTGGATGGCCTTCTTCAGGGGCTCGACGTAGGCTTCCTTCCAACTGGCGTCCAATTCGCCCCACTTGTATTCGGCGCGAGCCCGGCCGGTCACCACCTCAGTGACCCCTTCCATCTCGGTGCGGCGAATTTCTCCGCTCACTTCAAGGATCTCCTGAACGCCTGCTCCCGAAGAGGTCCCCGTCCACAAAGTCCAGTGTCCCATCGTGTCGTGGATCATGGCCTCGAGCTCGCCGTCCTTGAGCCCCACGAGAGGAACATCGCACTCCATCGCCAGGACTTCCACCTCCGCGGTTCCCCGGCCAACCCCTCGGGCTTGCCGACTCCCAGTGGGCACCTCCTTCTTCTTGGTCCTGATCACCTTGCGGACCGCACGAACCTTGGCATAGGCTTTCTCCATTTGGTTTCGCAGATCCGCCTCCTGCAACTTTGTGGGCGCCCCGAACTGTTTCGACAACTTCTCGAAGAGCCGCTGCTTCTTGTGGAAGTCCAGCTGGTGAGGGTCCATGCCCTCTTCCTCTTCACGCCGCCGTCGCTCTGCAAACGTTCTCTTCACCGACCAAGGCAGATCTTCCAGGAGCTTAGCACGTTTGGCGCGGCGGTCCTCCCCCTCCTCCTCGTCTCCAACCCCGCCGTCTGGCTCATCGGGGGCATCCGAGGTCGAACTTGAGGACGAGGAATCGGAGTTTGCCGGTGCCTCGGCAGTTTCCGGCACAGGAGCGCCGGCCTCCACTGCTGGCGCATCTCCCTCCACGGTAATGTTGCCACCCTTGAGCTCGGCCTCCACCTCCTGCAAAGCATCAGTGATGAACTGGGCACTGGTCGCCTCATCCGCGGTAGCCAGGCGCACCTTCTCCAGAGGGTAGGCTTTGACCTTGCCTCGAAGCCGGATCCACAGCCTCTTCGGGATGTTGTCGTCCTTCTCCACGCACACGACAACACCAGGGCCAGCCCAGCTCAGGTTGTCCTGCAGCCTTCGCGCCAGGCCTCGTCTTGAAGGTGGAGGCTCGTACACATAGACCACGGTGCCCTCCTTGATGCCCTCAATGTCCGGTGGCTTCGACTTGGATGCCAACGCCTTCCGCAGCGCCTGATGGGCGTCCAGCCAGTGAAATGACTCCACCGCGCCGGCCCGAATCCTCTCCGCCCGGGCCACTGCCTCATTCTTGGTGGCCGCCTCATTGAAGCGAAAACGGACTCGCCCCGAGGTGATCTGGTCCATGATGGCTCCCGGCAGCATGGTGTTCCTGCCAGTCACAGCCTGCATGGGGGACACTCCCCCATTGTTGCAAGTCCTGTTCTTGGCCACAAAGGCCGACAGCGCTGCTCGCCGCATCTCCGCAAAGCCCTTCAGGTTGAGCTCCCGGACCATCCGCATCATCATCAGTTTGATCACAGCCCCGTGGCGCTCGGCTTGGCCCATGCGCCACTTGGCACCCTCCGGCACCACCTCGTGTAGAACACCAAACAAATCGTTCAAAGCCTCAACTGAACCCCGGAACTCCATACCTCCGTCGGTCAACAACACATCTGGCGGCCCAAAGACGGCATACCACAGGTCCGTGAGCACCTCACGGGCAAAGTTGGAGTCCGGATTCTCCGTCAGGTCGCCGATGTGATAGTCCGTGAGGCCGTCGATGAAGTGCGTCACCGCGAATCTCTTGTTCTCAATGTCCCACACGTAGAAGGTGTCCCCGGAGATGCGCTCGTTGAACTGCTTGGGTTTGCGGTAGGACACCTTAGGTTGTTGCCCGGGAGGTCGCACCATCGCACAGATTTGGCATCTGAGGGACTTGGCCAAGGCGATCACCCCTTTCTGGGCTCCACTCAACACAAACATGCGGGCCAAGCGATCATTGGACAGGTGGCCCAATGTCACATGCACATGTGCCACCATAGCCCGCAATCGCCGCGGCTGCTGTGCCTCCTCCCCTTCAAAGGAGATGTAATCGTAGCGGCTGCCGGTCATGGCATTCTTGCTCAATTGTTCGCGGAGGTTCTCCTCGACATTCCCGCCGCTGGATACCGGCGCCGCCTCCCATTGAGGTCCTGTCGTCTCCGCCGCGAGTGACCAATTTCCCGCCTCCGGGGTCCTCCGTAACAATGTGTCCTCCGCCGCATCGAGCACATGATCGCAGAACCGAGGAGTCCACTCGGCCGCCACTTGCGACCTTTTTCGAAAGCCGGGGCCATCACGGCATTCACCTTTGATCACCTGGTGCTCCACCGGCTTGTGCGTGCAGTAGGCCTGCTTCATCAGGTTGCGGGCAAGCACGGAGTTGTTGACCTCGAGGATGGTGGGCTTGTGATAGGGTCTCAGGGTTTCTGGGTCCCGCAATCCAAAAGCACATTGATGAACCACAGCCCGGATAACTTCCTCCCGCTCCACCATCCACTGAAGCTCAAACGCCCTGGACTGTACTGGTTGCTCCAAGATCACAAGCCGCTTGCTGATCACTTGCCGCTCCCAGGCCTCCCCAGCAAGCTGCCAGAGTGGCAGTTGTGCCCGCCGCCGTTCGTAGAACCCGTCGGCATCCTCGCACAACGGCTCCCACGTGCTCCACGGTCCACTTGGGGGTGAAAGGGTCACCAAGTCGGGCTTCGCAGCGTCGATCAACTTGAGAAGCCGATCACGCTGCTCTGGGACCCGCAAATCCCAGCCCGTGTTGAGGTCAATGGGCTCCAACACTCTCCACCTTGGTCGCTGGGCCGCCCGCCTCGACAACTGCGCCGTGCCCGCAAAGACCTCAAGGAGGACCCACTTGCCATCGTCACTAGCGACCTCCTTGACCTGGCGGATCACCTCCAAGCCCTCTTGCACGCCCCGCTTCAGCCGCTGGGTCAACCCCCGGTTGGGCCGCCGCGGCCCCACTCTCACATCAGCCTCGACAAGCTGGGGTCGTGCATCTTTTGACGCATCGCCCCGAAGTGACCGAAGAGGGTGGCCACCTCCTTCCCGAGGAGGGCTGCTAGCCAACGCCGGTTCCTCTTCCACCTCCTGTCTCCATCGCGCTCCACCGCCGACTTGATCCTCACCATCCACACCAGCTTCTTCCAACACCACGTGCGCATCCGACTGGCTGTGGCCCCGGCAATGTTCAGCCCCAGCTCCTCGCTCCAGCAGTGGCTCAACGACGGATAGTCCGCCAGCTCGCCCGTCAGAGCCTTGCGGTCCTGTGCTTTGGCCCGGGAGGCCGCTTGTTTCTCCCGTCGCTTCTGGATCATGGCCGTCTCCTCGGGCGTCAGGCCACCCGCCATGAACTCGGCCGCCTCCTCGTCCTTGGCCTTGGTCTTCGGCGTGGAGGTGGATGCCGCTGCCGACTTGGGCCGTGCTCCCCGGGGCTGAGAAGGCTTCCTCAACCTGTCCCTGTCGTCCCCCGCATCGAGCTCCATGTCCTTCGTGGTCTCCTTGTTGAAGGTCATGACGAAGCTGTCGTCGTCCGAGTCCACCTGGGGGCAATCCCGGGTCCGGTGCTCCGTGCTCTTGCATATGCGGCAGCTCGGGGGCACCGACGGCGATGCCATGCGCCTCACAGTGGATGGGCTGAGATCCTTGAGGGGCTTGAGCACCCAAAATCTCGGCATTCACAGGTGCAATGTCTTGGTAGGAAGGCAGAACATAGTCTTCAGGAAGTTGCGCACAGCCACTGTCACACTCATCAACCGACATCGTGTAGTGACCAGTTTCCTGCCCTACGCCATACGAAGACACCCCCAGCCGACGAACCGAGACTCGATGATGCTCACAGTCAATGACCGCCCCAATCTGTGTGCACCCCGTACGCGAGAATAGCGGTGGGCAACTACCCGGGACAACGCTGAAACCATATACAACTGGCTTCCCCGCAAAGCTCCCGATGAAGTGCACCCTAAAGCGACTATGTAAAATCTCGCCATCCCCAAACTTGAAGGCCTCTCGCTCCTCCATGACTTTGCACCAGCGACCCTCCACCTTCCAGCGCTTTAGAAGCATGTTGATCCACTCCAATCCAGCCACCGACCGCATACACCCTAGATCCAAAATGACCTTGTAGGCTAAATCCTTCATAGACCACATGATCTCACTGATTGAAGCTAAATCCTTCACTGACCACATGATCTCATTGACAGGGTGGCTGGTGGCTGCAAACACACTGTGACTGCTTCCCGGGCCCTCCCCCTTATACTGCCACGAAGAGCTGGCTTTCGATCGGCCCGTTTCGGCAGCCAAAGCAGGATTGAGACCGGAGCGGCACATCGAGGCTAACAAGTCCACTCATCCTCTTCCTTGACCGAGTCCAAGACAGCCGGAACGCCCTTCCGGGAAGTAGCCGCCAAGACGGCCTGTGGCCCAGCAGTCGCACTCGTCATGGCCGCCCTCGGCTTCGGATTTGGGCACTCTCTGCTCCAATGTCCATACTGCCCGCAAGCATGACAAGGATGCTTCTGCATTTGCTCGGCCAAAGCTCGGCGGCGTTCCTCGGGATCCGGCTTCTTATAATACTGCCGTAACTTGCGAACCTCGGCGATCTTCTGCTTGGCCCGGTGCTGGATCCCGAACGCCTCGTTGACCACCGCCTCGAGCTCGGGGGGGAGGTCATCGTCCATGGACTCCTCGCCGTACTCTTCCGGCCGGCTCTCCCCATCGTCGTGACCGACATCCTGGAATCCTTGCTCAGCCGCAAAGACCCCACGCGGAGGCTTGTTCGGGGTCAAGCGCCCCAGTCTCCCCTCGCCTCGCTGCAGAAGCCATTCCACCCCATTCTTGGCAGCATTGGGTTCCGACGCCCCGATGGGGTATCCACTCTCCCCTTCCAATTCACTCGCCAGCTCGATCAAAGCGTTGGTCACCAGGAACTCGTCGGTCTCACTGCCAGCCTTAGTCTTGACCATGGCGCGGTCCCGCCGCGTCAAGTGAGCGTGGTCCACCAAGTGGCCTACGTAGAAGGCCTCACCCATAGTCATGCTTGCGTCCATCGCCATCAAGTGGGTCCTGTAGATCGAGGCCCGCGTCACGTAGCTTTCCATCGATTCTCCCGGCGCTCTATTCAAGCTCATCATGCGTCGCCTGTGCTCGTCCACTCGGTGCTTGTCAAGCTGCCGGATCAGAGGAGATTTCTCGAGGGCCGCCAGGATGACGTCCTTGCCGCCCGCCTTGTTCACGTCGTCGTTGGTGAGGTGCTTCACCAACTGGGCTGCTCTCTCCTTCAACTGCACCATCATCCGGGGCCCCACCAACTCAGCCGGAAGCTGACCGCCCTCTCCTCCAATCCAAAACTCCACGCTCCTTTTCCACTCGATGAAACTCTCGCCAGGCTTCGCCTTGAAGACCGGGGGGTACGAGCTGCTGACCTTGCCCGTCGTCTTCTTCTCACCTTCCTCGCCGACGACCTTCACCGTCGACGCTCGCTCCCCGTCCTCCGAGGAATTCCAGGACGACGCCCTCGGTGTCGCCTCCTTGCCCACATAGCTGGCCTCCCAATTCCGCCAGCTAGGGCGGTCCTCTTCGGTCTCGTCCTCCGCCTTGCCATAGCCGTCCTTCCAGCTCCAATTCTCGTACTCACCGTAGCCACCGCGACGGCCATTGCCTCGGCGAAAGCCTTTGTATTCCCAACCATCACTCCGATCAGGACTCCCCAGGCTGGAGCCCACTCGGCTCCAATTCTCATTCTCCTCCCAGCTGCCTTGCCAGGATCCATCTTCCGCCCATCCATCCCAAGATGAGCGCCGACCTCGCCCTCGAACAGGCTCCGCCTCATCATTGACGGAGTCGCTGCTTATCCCGCCGGTGGCTGCACTCCCTGGCCGCGACCAACGGTTTCTCGACGGTTGCTCGCTCGGGGTCCTCGA